TCCCTGTTACCCTTCAAACCTCAACCCAAGTTAGAAATTTCAGGCACTCGGTTGTGTCATCGGGTTTCTTCCCTTTGCCCATTCACAACCATCTTCTACTGTCGGACACACGACAATCTTTAACTGTTGGATGCACCCAGATGCAGGATCTTCCGATCGTTGAATTTCCACAGTGGATCCTCCGCAACTTTCCAGTGGGGTCGACTCGCTCCGATGCCGAATTTGATCTGACCGTTCAAACCGTACATTGATGCTCCAACTTTCACATCCAAAATAAAATTTATCTAGGGAGTAAAAGATGGATTGGGTGTAGGCACTCTTGGCATTCAACGATTCCGGACCTTATCATGCTTACAGTGGGGGGTTGCAGCAGGTGGAATGTGTGGTGCGGCGGGATCGAAATTCGCGGATTAAATTAGAAGAGATTCGGATTTTGGATTCAGAAGAATCAAACCTTCAAACTCTGACGAGACTAGACACACATACACACACTCTCTCTCCTCCACACCCAACCACCCACGGTGGGAACCTCTTTGGCTTATTGAGAGGAGCCCTAAATACCGAAGGATGCCTTGTATGCGATGATGCAACAGAAGAAATTGTCGTCGAGGATTGCTGCTCTATATCTTCGGAGATCTTCGGCTTCAATGTCCACTGGACAGCCGGAAACAAAGCGGCGATCTCGGATTTCTGCATACATCTTATATGAGTGTTACCTCCACAAACACACACACAAGTAGAAAAAGAAGACGCGTACACTGTAAAATAAATCCAAGCCTGTGTGGATGGGTGACATAGATAGTAAACGAGGATGACCTTACACTTCATTCTACTCCCCTAAAACATCAAACTGGAAAGTCATTTCCCGTAATGAAAAAACTATTTCATTAGATCCCAATTACTCTTTTATATGGCAGAAATTATTATGGTTTGATCAACGTGCTAAGAAAGAACAATATTAAATTGGTTGATTTGGCATCGAGTGATACCATTGAATGCTTGGAGAGTAAAAGTTTATTTAGGATTTTTCTTAGATTTTTTGTATGTGCATTCTATCTAAAGTAAAAAATTTCATGTATCAGATTTTAGGAGTGTCCACACACTCAAATAATTTGGGATTGCACCATGGTTTTTATGAACAAATAAGTAACAAGCTCTTGAAAATAGGGACCATAGAAAACATTTGTCAAGAAATAACCAATGTTTGGTGAACCACTTCCAAGTCGTCTCAAATATTTTAAGTAAATTTGATTATTCTTGAGACACAATTATCTATTGATAATTTGAACACAAAAAAAATAATGTGTCTCTTTAAGAAAAATTAAGTATCAAGAAAATTTACCAAAAGATATATGAAGTGATAAATAAATGTGGTTGAAGTCAATAGAAACTTACTGAAAGTATAATTAATAAAAATAATTGATTTCATATTATTATGTCTTAAAAATTAGAATAAAAGAGATATGCTTACAAGACTCTCGAAACTAAGCAAGGAATGACCAATAAATGAAACACTATAGTTCTCTCTAACAAGTTAGTTTGCTACAATATAAATACATATAAAAAAAAGTATTCACTAAAATAGATATTTGTGTAATTTATTATAAGACTTCCCATCATTTACCTTAAAAATTAAGATATTAAAATTTTGGTTGTTATATGTATTCAAACTAATTGACCATTGTTACAAGTATATCCCATATGTATCAAAAATAATAATTACAATGTTATTATTATAATAATAAGCATGAAAACATGAGAATTGAGGCAATGGATTTTGGTGTAAAGTGATGCTATTCCAACCTAAATTTTGCTCCTTCATTAGGTATTCATTGAAGCCACACAGACTGGAGAAGAGATAATGAAACCAAGTGGACGTGTTTCTAATTCACGAATTTCAGTATTAAAATTCAACTGTTCATGCATGCATACATATTGTTCAAGTGAATGCAAAAATCATGAACTAATGTGTGAATGTTCACTGTTTGAAACTCAATTAGTATCCACAAGAACAGTCATTACTTTTACTCTTTCCTTTAGTTGATACTTCCATCTCCCATTCTTGTATCAAACACAAAGTTGTAAAAGCTGTAAACTGTAAGTTTTCTCCTATTAAAAGAACGACTTAAATTAGCTCATAGATTCTAATGTAAGTTACGGATCATTTTATTTTATTTAGTTTTAAACCAGTTCGGGTGTGTTGTGAGTTTATTCTTCCGAAAAAACAGAAAAAGTTTCCTGAGGAGTGGGCAGTATCACCGTGCTGAAAAGATTTGTCAAGGAGCATACAAGAAAACGAGAATACAGTCAAGGTTTGTCCAGGTGAGCCAATGTGTGTAAACAACCTCCAGCAGTGGTGACGATGGAGACTTCGACCATGCTCTTCAAGCACGTCTCCTCACTCTTCAACAACAAGCTTCGCCCCACATTCGTCGGTTCAAAGTGCAAACTACCTCTTGTCCAGCAGGGAATAGCCTTCCCAAGGAACTCATCCTAACAATGGTTCTAACCCCACTCCACACCGTAGTCACATCCCAATCCTGAGCAGCGGGGTCCTTCTAGCCGCTCCGCAGATACACAAGTCTCGGCGTTGTGCAGACTCTCTCCTCCAATTACATGAGGCAGGGTGCTACAACTTCCGATCTGTGCCGCAACACCTTAACCAACACCCGGAAACAGTGAGAAGAAGTCAGCTCTAGGGATACTGTCGGATGAACATCCATGCACATTCTACTTTCGAGTTTCATTCATCACATAATGGGTTCTGGCCCATAGGTATTTGAATCGATGTTCACAGTGTCACTGCAGTTCGATGTAGATTCAGTTACAGAGTGACAGCGTAATGGAGAGATATCATGAGAATGTTAAGCTCCTATGTTACTAGAGAATTTTCTACAAGGATTAAAGATAAGCTTGATACTTATATATATATATATATATATATATGTGAGTGTGTATACTTACTGAAAGAGACTAAGTTTTCTAAAAGGTTATGGGCCCACCTCGCAAGTACGTTGTGCGGATAAAAAAAATATCAAGAATACCTTTACATTCTTGATAATAGTAAATGTACCCCTCAAAGTTTTGATAATAGCAAAAATACCCTTGAATATGAAAAGCCATCTCCAATCTGACAAAAAAAACCTTGAATTCCAATACTTTTTTTTTGTTTTATATGCTGCAAAATCTCATGTTTTGTTTGTTCTGCACTCTCGGGCAACTGCTGTTGCAGCCAGTAGCCCCCTCAGCATCAGTGCCCCCCCCCCCCCCCCCTCCCCCTTCCCGCAGCGTCATCGTCTTAATCTTCTTTGGTTTTTGTGTGAGCTCGAGGTTCTAGACTTGTGCTGTGTTGAGCTCGAGGTTTACAGTTTTTGGGAAGTGCAGGAGATCAATGGATTCACCTGTTTTGTTTCTGGTCTTGTTTCGATTGCTTCAGGGGGTCTTCTGCGATAAATGCACACTAATCACAGGATTGTGCAATGTGTTTCAAGCGCATATCCTCTTCCTATGGCTTTTGTACTGAAAGCATTCCACATTTTTGCAAGCCGTGAGAGGAGTTCCTTCAATAGTGTGCGAATTTCTTTAATCCTCCCATTGCTGATAATTATTTAAAATTGCACTTTCTGCAAAGGGGGCAAGGGCGTTATAGTGTAGCAATTTGTTTTACAGTTTGATTGCACTGGCTGTGAATGAAACTTGTAGTTGAAGGCCGCGTAGAAGAAGAAGAATAAGATGCTATCAGATTGTTGCCTGCTTTCTAACTTGTTCCCATGTGTGTGTTGTATCCACTGCCATGTTGAATCACATAGTTTTTTTCAGTTTTCATGCATTGTATGCAAAATGATTTCTTTTCGTGAAAAACCCTTTCCACCAACTGAAGGGTGAGAAGATCCTTTGAAAATGCAACAACACTATGGATAATTTGGCATGCCTGTGATCTTCGTCTCTAACAGAGTGTGTGCTTTCTCGCTACATGAACCATGTCTGAAACCAGCATGACACTTAGCAAGATCTTTCATGTTGGAAGAGAATCCGTGCATTATGATGCTCCCAATAGAATGTCTGTCAAGTGCACACACACATGCCTCTTTTTCAATGGAAGCTTTCTGTGGATCCAGGTAGAGAAATTTGAAAAAACTCTTCCGACTTTCAGATTCAACGAACTCTTGGAAGGTAATGAGAACAAACCAATGCGCCCTGCTGGAAGTTGTGCTCTCACCATCAATTCAAACACACTCAAAAAATAACACTGATCTTCCAAAACAAGGCTAACAATCCCCCCCATCGACAGCAAACCATGGGACATGAGTTTGTATCTGGAGGGAGGATGAACAGCCGGATCAAGGAAGCGTGTGCTGCCTCCTTTGCCAACCAGTTCCACGACACGAAGCGTGGTTCATAAAAGACGCAGCAGCTCTAGTTCAGTACCCACACAACATTTCTGATCTGCAAACTACACGTCTCGATCTGTACAGCCCACACACACACTTACACACTTGAACACACTTGGCATACAATACTAGGTGCCACGCAACTCCATGTCCATCGCCACTGCTCGAAGCCCTCTTTTGCTCTTGCTCTGTATCCATGTAATCTGCTCGGAGATGGATGACGAGGGTGCTGCGGGCTGCAACCGCAGTTGCCCGAAAGCGCAGAACAAACGAAACATCATAAAAGCACGAGATTTTTGCAACATATAAAACAAAAAAAAGTAATGGAATACAGGGGCTTTTGTCAGATTGGAGATAGCTTATCATACTCAAGGATACTTTTGCTATTATCAAAACTTAGAGGGTTACATTTGTTATTGTGAAGAATGTAGGGATATTCTTGATATTTTAACATATTTGAGGGGTATGAATGATGTTTTCCCTACAATAAAAACTTTTGGAATAAAATACTTGCATGGTAAACAAAATGAAGCAAATGAATCTCTCTCTAAAAATGTGATTGTTTAGAAGGTCTCTAGTTTTGTACGATTGAATTTCACTACCCAAGAGTTCAGCATCGCAAAGAATGGGACTGATATGCCAATCTGCCATTATTCCATGAGCTTCAGCAACTCGATCTGTTACAGAATAGGCTTCTCTACAGCCCAAAAACTTCTATAAAAGAAGCCTCACCCATGCGTGTACAACATACAACAAATTCTTGATTTGCAACTAAAAATGTAAATGATTCAGATTGCTGATCTAAAAGCACCTGCTGCAGCTTCACGCTTCATTTCTGCTGCTCTGCCTTCGCCTCGGAAGTATTGACTAACATTCTGCAAATGAAAAACAAAAAGCAACATATTCAGAACCTAACCACTTTATCACATTAGTAATTGATAACAGCTACACATTCTCAAAGAATATGAGAAAAAAATTAAATTTCGTGTATCTAAGTCTTCTACAACTCGAAAAGTACATTATACAAAAGAAAATGGGTGATTGATTGAATTTAAGAGGAATGCATTACGATGACGTTATTACGTGAGTAATTTTATCAGTGGAAGCCCGCAACAAAATATTGATAGTTCAAAGGAAGCATGACTTTAACAACTAGAAAATGTTGCGAGTTTCCACTGGAACATAAACATGAAAATAAAGGGCACAGATTAACGCTTTAATCACACGACATTCTTTTTGAAGGAGAAATAAATTGTTCTCACCTTCAAAACCCAGACGCTTAAGAACACCTCCAGTGTGTATAAGCCGAAGCCTACCGCATACAAGATCTGGGAATACAGATTACCAAAAAAACCATTATTATTGAGTACACTGACCATAAGCAGTACGTACTACAACCTTGGAGACAGTTTGTCAAAGAATCGATTTAAAAATCTCGTTGGGATAGAACGTAACTTACACCAACAATAAGCTTCTTTCCGAAAAGGTCAATAGCTGGAATAAGTCCACTGCATTGGTAAACAGTCTTCCAATTTAGCTACACGGATCAGGATACGTCAAATAGTACTTTCCAGCAACTCAATTTATTAAACCTGTCTCACCAAATTAATGATAACTGTAATAAATGAGGACATAGTTTGACGGAATACTAGTGCACACATGTGCATGAACTTACATGTGTCTGCTCAGCATAAAAGAACGAACATAAATTACCTCGTATAATCCTACAAATACTGATTTGATGCATATGGCTAAAGGGATTTCTACAGCCTCCTGAACACTTACGCAAGTGACTTTCCTTTGAAAATGATAGGAGGAGCAACAGCAGCTAACACACAAAATGAAATATGAAGCTGCACAAAACAATGACAACAGTAGCTCCCTTTCATATCAAGATACAACGATTGTCAATCCAATAACTTCCCCAATTCACCAAGTGCTGCAACAAAATGGAAACAAATGGAACGCTCTTCTCATGAAACCTTAAAATGGTCCAATATCCATCATGTGTTCCATTTGTGGGTGATGGACGGCACACCCAAGGATAGAGAATCACGTCGCACTTACCAGATAGAATACAAGAAACCACCCAAACTTCAGAACACTCTCAGTCCTGTTTATTCCAACAAGAAGAGCTCAAATCAAACTCAGCAGTGTAGATATTTTGGTAATCAAGCGGAAACCAATAAGGCAGTACCCTTGTACCACTCAATCAGAAGTAAAAATCGCGTAAATTTGAAACACCCAACTTGAAATATGTAGATATCGTTTCAATCCATTCGAATCATTCTTCTGGAAATTCAAGCACCTTGAGGCAGAAATTGTGCATCCAAAAATCGTGGAAGAAATGAAAGACTTTTACTACAAAATATATTCATCTTCCACAAGGACATGACCGAGTTTCAATTAACTTATTACCTCATTGCCCGATAGAGAGGCTTGTACCACAGAAAATATGACATAGGGAAGCCAGCCAACATGTAAATGAAGCCAAGGAACAAGATCTCCACACCTGGTACCATTCAATTATTGGCGTTTCAAATTAGGAGTCAACACCGAGTGAAGAAGAGCTCATGACACAAAGGATAAAGATTGGCCCCGCCGATGATGGTATACTTTGTTCTTTGCAACCTGTGATACCTATTTATTTTGGTGCTTAAAATATAGTTAACTGTGCATTAAAGTTTGATATTAACTCGTAGTATAAAAGCCAGCCCTAAATTCTCCGCAAACGGGACGAGATGACATTTCAAATGGATTTTTCACTTTGTGGGCCTCAATTTCTCCTGGTGATTCTTAGTGAACTTTAGTGTACCTCACACGTCAGCTCACTTCATAATATTAAATGATAGGTTTAACGAACACAAAGTATCTAATAAACTGACATAAGGTCCACTACCTCTTACCGCTGGCTCCCGCAATCCAGGCTGCAGTTACGCAAATGAAGTTCCACAACAAACAAAGTAGAATGCCTGCATAAGACAATTGCATAGGATAGCATAAATCCGATCGAACTATCAATGGAGGATCAGTCAGATCGCCCACACAGCACCCCAACGACACAGCAACCTGTGACCGCTGTACCAAGAAGAAATCTCCAACAAACAGAAACTTTGGTAGTCATGTAGATGAACATCTCAAATAAGCTGTAACACTAACATATTATCCCGCAGTATTGTATATGCTGTGACCACCGTACTTTCATGTCAATGTAATGTATTCCACAAAATCCATTATGAGGTGAGGTTCTAAGGTCCGCAAATCATACCCAACCAACTTGCATAAGCCCGGTACATTAACCCCCGGACGTGTTCTGGGATGTCATTGGCGATGTCATGATGGAGAATAGGAACTAGGGGTGGCCAGTTCCTTGATTCAATAACAATACCAGCTGCAAATTTCACCCAAATATAATAATCATAACCGTACGTTCAGATTTATCACGTGATGCAAATTCGCACGTCATCAACTTCACCAGGTACGTACGTAATTATTAGATTCTTAAACAATGAAAACACTAGAGACAACTTGCTGAGAAAACTTCTGAATATTACGTGATGCCTCATGATTACTTCTAAGGGCCCATTGCAAAATATCAGCAGCATTTAACTTGATTTAGTCACGATCATCAGTACCTATTGAAGCAGCATCCTCTCTGCGTTTCAGTTCCTACACTCCCACGCCAAATCTTCAAATGATTACTAGAGATATTTGGAATTAAAAATTGGAAGGATATCAAAGATCAGACAACCAATCCCTCGCCAATGACGTTGTACTTCACATGAGAGGTATTATGCTTTAAGCCAAACGCTTCGAGTTGAACTTTCTCTGAAAGCAATTGGACGTACACTTCCTACTTTATTTAGAAAGTTGCCAAATTCATGAAATTAGGGTACATAACAAGGCAAGCAATAAAACACCCCAAAAACATGCATATGTACTTTCTCTCTTCTCTTCAGCTCTTCTTCCTTGGCTTTAAGCTCTTTTTCCTTGTTCTTCATTTCCTGTTCACATGAGGACGTTAAAAAGAGATAATCGAACATATTCAGTCTCCTAGAAAAGATCGTAGGAAGATGCGGTCCAATATGGTGTGAAGCATCCGCATGACTATTTAGCCAAGGTTTTCAAATGGTTTTTTCCCAAACTTACTTTTGAACCACCGAGAGGAATGTCTACTGTGGCGTCATTTACTTCAGAGAATACTGGTTCATGCGGAAGATGAGACAATCCAGAGTTTGGGTCCTGTATCGCATTTAGGCGTTCCTCTCAGTCAAAATCGATGCATTTACCAAGACTACCTCACTAAAATTGCAACCCTAACTCCAACTTATGAGCATCCTTTGTCACAGACATGCGTTCAAAACTTAGCAGGCCTAGTCTTTCCACTTGTTTTACTAAAACAAAAATCGAATTGAAGTGGTATTCGAATTAAATGGGTAATGTATGCACAGTTTTAATCCTGCAAGATCCATTCTACAGATAAGTACAGACGGTGCACCTTGTCATAGAGACCAAGACCATACGATGGCTTCCCAACCTGCGCCCTCACCACGGGATTCTGCAGCATTGACACATCTTCCAATGCTTCGTAAATTTTGCTTTTAGTGATTCACGTTTCTAAATCACTGAACGAAAAGTGCGAACATTTTCTGAGCTCTGAGGTACCACGTAAAAAACAAATAAAAACGTACATAACCACGAGATTCGAGAAGCACTCTCTTCTTCTAGTTAAAGAAAGCGTTGAATAAAGTGTCTGGTACTCAGCACTCAAACGAAATGCCATCGCTCTCGATGCAGCATCGTAGTTTACTAAGAAACTATCAAGTACAAGACATTCCACCTCGACTTGTTCTCGGAAACTCAAGAGATATTATGCTCTAAAAACGCCCGAAGAACAGAGACCTAGAAAATAAGAAGATATCATTTGCGACGCAGTTCATATCTAGAAAGCACACCACGTTTAATGAAACACATTTCTTAAAAGAACTCTAAACTATCGTTAAAAAATAAATAAATAAATCTTTTGAATTAAAATGAAGTGAGGAGCCCTTGGGATGAATCAACAAATAGTGAAAATATCCTCCTAAAGCTGCAGAACCTGAACTGCATGTATGTATGCTTACTGAGAATGGGTTCACTTGTTCCTCTTCGTCGAACGGATTGCTGTCGTACCGGCCCGCCATCCCAAAATCCAGTGGCCTTTCCCGCAAAGCCGACGACAATGATCTTTATTCGCTGAAGTCACTTCCCTACCTTTCCACTGACGAAAAATCACCCTGACCTCTCTCTCTCTCTCTCTCTCTCTCTCTCTCTCGTTCGCTCTATACAATAGGCCACCACAGTTTCCACTCTAACACTATGAAAAACCTTCTTCTTAGCATTAAGCAAAACAACACGATGCAGTCGTCCCTCTCGCGCTTATTCCGAAAATCAGAATGCCAACTACAAACCCTGCCACTTCAACGTCACCCTTCAAGAAACAGCGACATTTCATCAAAGAGAGATCAAGAGCAGGCTCACACGACTCCCACGGCGGAAGAAGGAAGACGAGAGGAACGACCCGAGAGCGAGAACGCAACAACAACAACAACAACAACAGCAGCAGAGAGAGAATAAGGGGAGAGCAGGCAACAAAGCTGCAGCAGCTGCAGCGAACGAAGGGAGACAAAACAAATCAACAACACAGAGTGTGTGCAGAAGACAACAACACCGCATTCATTTTGAAATAGAAAAAATAAAATAAAGAAAAGAATAACCCCTCATTCATCCACTTCAGTCTTGTGCTCGTCACCCCATCGCTCTTGTGGACTTCTCGACGTTGTACGAGCTGCTGCTGCTGCATGCAGACTGATCTTACAAAACAGTTGTCTGTCTGGTCCAAACCTCGCCTCCATTCCATTCGTCCCTCAATTCCTCCCTCAATATTCGGCTTCCGAAAGCCTGGTCGGAAGCTTCGAGCGAGAGAATCTCACAGCACAGTGCTAATACTGAGAGAGATGGGTTCCTTGGTCGCAATAATATTATTCGGGTCCGCTGGTTGAGTCTGTGCGCGGAGGGGGGGGGGGGGGGGGATGGCGGTGGCGAAGTCGGTGGGCTGTTGTCGTCGGCGACACTCTCGACGGTGTCCCTGCAGTCGTCGCGGAGTTGTACGCCATCACCCGAATTGTGAGAATTCTAAACTACGCTTCGAATTGGCATGTAATTAATTAAATAATAGAATGAATGAATTGAATTCTGAATAGAATGCCGCAGCTCGATGCATTCAGGGGATCACCGAGTAGGAAGGGAAGGAAGGAAGTATGCAAGATGTTTTTTAGTATGAAGTCGAATAAGGAGATCAGTTTAGTTGAGAAATGTACGAAACAAGAAAGTAAAATCATCGAGAAACTAAGATGTGAGATAGAGAATCAATACAATATATGTGTAAAGAAGACCAAAAACAATTTGTGTACCATAGTAAAAAAAAAAAAAAAAAAAAAAAAAAATTACAACAATCAACTATCAAAAAATACATCAATATACAAGAAGCAAGAAATAATCTTCTATTGGTTTTATATTTTAAGTTAGGTTGTATACATTCTAATGAAAATAAAATCAAGGATAAAAAGTGTTTTACTGTACATCAATTATCAAAATTCTAACTTTAAAAATAGTTATTGTTATACTAATTTATAAATATTTTGCTTGGTTAAATAAGATACTTATTGAATTAAATGTATAATTTATATTTACTGTAATTCTTTTAAAATTATAGGATTTTAAAATTTTTAAAATGATTTTTTTTGAGAAATATGCAAAATTATATATATATTACATATGAGTATATTTATTTTTAAGTATGTATTCCTTAAATAACAAAGAAGAAGATAGTTTGACCTTTGTAGATTAGATTTAGAAATCTTAAAATTATTAATTATTAAATAAGAACATTAATACTATAGAAAAAAGAACAAAAAATTATAATAATCATCATAAATATAAAACTAATAAAAAAATTAAATTTTAAAAGAAGCTATTATAACTAAGATAGAAAAAATCCCTGAATTTTTTACATTTGTCCAATTAAAAATATATTTTAAAGTCAAATTTCATTTAGAACTAATATTCTTATGGTATATATTTTTATCCTATTTTAATCTAACAAAAAATAGTGTTATATTCTATTTTAATCTAATATTATATAAATACATATTATAACTTATAACATTTAAAAACTTAATTATCTAATTAAATTTTATATATTTTAAAACTATATTTAAATAAATCAAATTAAATCAACAATAAAAAGGCTTAAAAAATGGAATTTATATCATGGACTACATAAAAATATGTTATCTTTTATTATAATAATTTATATTTAATTATGAATTTGATAAATTACATCCATTAATAAATTTTATACATGTTAAAAAATTTAATTTGATTTTAAGTATATTTTAAAAACTATATTGAAACATTAATTCAACAATAATAAACAATCATTGTTTCTAAAATCATAATTCTACATGTATTGAATTTATACGTTTTCTATAAAATATTTTATCTTTAGATTTTTTTTAAAATTATGTATTTTTAAAATTTTGTGCATTAAAATTAATTAATTAATTAAATTAATAGAAAAAATAAAATATCGTCCTAAAACTACCACAACCTATTTGTGGTGTTCAAACATCTGGACTCAAGTCCATGTTTTAGAATTGTGATACCAAGTATACAATTGGTGCATTGATTTTTCTGTAAAATGAATCCAATCCTGTTTTTTAACAATGGCATCACGGTTTTGATGTTGTCTATAATGTGGAGCATGCCACTACTTCTAAAACTCACATTGTCCAATGATTTTGCAGATGTAGCAAGAATTGTGATTGTGGCACAATGGCGGCCACTAGGTCTAAATTGCTATTTATTTAAAGTATTTGATTTAGTCTGATTTGTTTTTACTTATTTTTTGTTATGAGAAGTAAAAAAGTAATTGAAAAATTGTATCTACTAAATTTTTAAAAATTAATAGATATTATTATTTATAAATAAAAGTTTTAAAAAATAGTGATTATTGTTTATATAATCTAAGTTTTATATAACATTTGATAAGTAGATTGAAAAAGTAGAATTTTAGTGTATTCTGATGAATCATACAATTAAATGTATTTTTTAATATATATTGAACAATTAATTGTATTCTGATAAATGTTATTTTTTAATTTTATATTTTTTGATAAATCATATTTGAATTTTTTTACAATATATTTAATAAGGTCTATACTTATAGACAAAATGAAATACTAAGTGAAGTTAATGCATTGTATTGATTTTGTGATTAATGTATAGGATTTGGATATTTTGTCAAGATTATAACTTAATAAGGATTTAAAAATTGTTTATAAGATATATATAAATGGTTTTGGAATTATTAATTAGTTTATAGAGGTAATTTTTTTTATTTAGAAGTATTTGTATTTTTAAAGATGGAATGTATTTTTGCTCAATGGTAGTATGATATGAAGGAACTAATAAAGGGTTAGGTATAGAAAGAGCTTTGAATTGGTATAGAATCTAATACTCCTATTATCTTTGTTTTTTTTTCTATATTTTATTTATGGCAAGTTAGAAGTTTCAAGAATATGGTAATGAATTTGTAAAATAAATACTAATATGTTTAATAATTATTAATATTATTGCATTAATTAGTACATATAATAGATTTAATTTTTTAAGTTTAAACTTGAAATGAAGAAGTTTGCAAGGATGTAGATAAAATTGAGTTAAATGAATAAATAAATCTCATTTTTATTATCTTAATTGGTAGAATAAAAAAAAATAGAGTGAAATAAGAGTGATTGAAAGTTATTCTTATTAGAATTTGTAATAAGAACTTATATTGTAGTTGGTTGATTATATACAAGATATAGCTTTGTTGGATGATTTTTGAGATTTGGGTTGGTTTCTTTATTCAATCAAAAGGAAGTTGATGTATTTAAGAAATTTTATGTAATGGTATCATATTGTTATTGTATAATTTGTATTTCATGTTTGTATCTTTTTAAAATATTTTTTTTATTTCTATATTAAAATTTATAAGATATATTTCTTTAAATAAAAGTCGTTCAAGATTTAGAATTGTGATTTAGGATCAATATATTTTACAGTGACATTTTGTAAGTTGAACTTAGGTTATTTATCCCTATATTATTACATTCAAGATTTTATTCAAGAAGAAATATTTGTTAAATAGAAACCAATGTACAAATTTATGCAAGAAAATTGAACATGTTACAAAGATTTTTGACTACCTAATGACTTACAGCAATGATAGATTGAAGCATGGGCTTTTATTAAGTGAATTACTTTTTTATATTAAATAAATCTTATGTACAAGTAGAAAATTTTGGAAAAAAAATTGGTGCAAAGAAAAAATCTTTAAATTGAATAACAAAAAAAATTTAGAGAATTACTTTGGAATTTGAAATATTCTAATATAACAAGTGATATGTTTTTAAAATGTTATGCTAATAAATTTAGAGACAACATATTTTCTTCACTTGATGTTGCATCATGTGATGACGTAGAAGGTAATGATTATTTTTATATGATAGGTTGATCCATGAAAATAGAAAAAAATATTTTAAATATTATAGACTAGTAAAGCATCTGCTACAAAGATTTGATGATTAGCATTATACAGAAGTTAAAGAATTAGATGCTTTAAAATCATCAATAATTATGACAAGTCTTTAAATTTTAGAATTTTTAAAGATTCGGTATGGATCTTATAATCAAGAATATAAATCAAAGTGGTTGAGAATTTTATGTCCAACTAAAAAGATAAATTTTAGATATAATGAGTTTTTTAAGAAAGACGTGAGCATTTTGGCCAATTTATACCATTCAAACTTCATAATACATTATTTTGTAATAAAAATTGATGCCAATGAGATTTTTGAATTTTTTACAATAATAGTAAAAAATATTATTTTAATATAGAACTAAAATTAATAAAAATAAATTTAAGTGACATGTTGGTAAAAAAAAAAAAAAAAAAAAAAAAAAACAAGTATCTCATATTTTTCTTATTGATGTTATGCATCAAATTGCAAAAAGAATGTATCACTTGCATGACATGCACATGCATATTATGATCTAAAGCCAAAAGATATTTTAGACAATACTTTAGAAACAAAAATTATAAATGATATTGTTTGACAATAACAAGAAATTGTAATGAATAATGTGAAGAAAATATATAATGCCTTCAATTTTATTGATTGCATTAAAAGTAGTGGTGATTGCTATGCCACTTCTTGCAATTTTTTAGAACTCTTTAAAATTAAATCAAAACCAAGAGATTTGAAGAAGGTCAAAAAATATTAAAATCTTTCTTAATAAAAAAAAATATATCTTGACTTTTAAAAATATGAAGAATTAAAGTCAAATTAATAATGTTGTTCTTTTGGATGACCTTTTGTAGCAACAAATTTAATATTTGAAAATATGTAATTATAGAATTTGAATGTAGATCCATTATTTAGATTATAAAATAGGATAATTTACTTAAATGTTATTAAAATGATATGTAAAAAAGTAATAATAAAAAAACCAAATCTTTAGAATTTAGAATTTTAATTTTTATACTTTCTAATTTTTATTATATTTTTTAGATATATGATAATGTAAATTAAATATTTAAATATTTATTATTAGATTTTAAATAATTTTATACATATAATAAATAAATAATTGTTATCAAATTTTAATATATTTTTTTAATTTTGTTTCTATAATGATTTTTATAAAGATACTAAGCATATTTTTTGTATTGATAAAGAATTCTCTTAGTTTAATTTTTTCTATTAGATATATTTAGTAAATATGAATTTAAAAAGAATTAGTAGATAAAAAATTGTACATGTTGTATAATAAATATATTAAAAAATTTAAACTTAAATAACTTGCAATTAAAAAATAATTCT